AATTTGGAGCACATTGATGGATTTTATTGTTTTATGTTTTTTTATATCTATCAGTTTCGAATAGGTATTATTTGTAGCTAAAGTAAATTTGGAAGTAATTTGTATTTTATCCATTATAAAGTTCGTATTTAAATTTCTTCTCTAGTTATGAAATGAAACTTTTCTCTTTAAAAATCAAAATTATAAAAAATGAATATGTATACCTTCTTGAAAAAGGGGATGTTACCGCTCCTGTACCTCTGCAATGAATATCCCCTTGACTTATTTTGTTTCCTTGTTCGAATTTAACACATGACTGTTCCGACAGAATTCTGTACGAATGTTTTCGGTTGATTAGGAGGTAAAAGTTTTTTTATGCAATTTTAATTATTCCACAAAGTTTATTATAGTAAAGTAAAACTTAAAAATATAATTCTTAGTTTCACAATTTCGGCGAGATCGAAGATCAAAGTGCAAACAGTCCATTGTAATAAAATAAGTGACAATTTGAAAAATGTGATTGAGTTGAACTATACAATTAAATCCAATTTTTTGGTCGTAGGTACACCTAATACTAAAATGGAGATCGACTTTATATTATTGTTACACTGGTTTTTGGTAACTCAATTTATTACAAACTCAACTTTTACAATTTAACTATACAATTATTGATAACATGAACGTAGAACGTCTATCATAAAACAGAAACTCTGACGTCAGATTCATCGAATTATATAGCTCGCTTTAACCTTCTAGAACCTTCTCGAACCGTCCAGATGTTTCTTGACACGGAATGACATTTCTAGACTATTCTCTCTTCTTCTTTTACTCGTACTTTTAGTTATGACGACCGTAGCACACTGTAGGGTGATGGGTGGCATTGCCTGTGCCGGCGGAAGAAACATATTTATACCGGGCAAGTGATATTGAAGATCTCAAATAATTTTTTACTAATTTTAATTTAGAGAAACTTCTTTCTCCGGTTTTGGACAATGTTAACAGAATACGCAATGCCACAGAGCTGTTAGGAAAATTCTCGACTAAACTGTTTTTACATGTAATATTTAGTACATTAGTTGGTAAACTGCCAGGGGCGACTAGTGCGTACAATACCATAAGCTCTTGGTGAAGCTGTGGTTCATCAACATCTCGGTGATTATCATCTCTTAGAGACAGTTCAATATTTTCGCATTTTTTCAATACCTCTTTGCTATTAATTTCACTATTAATATTGTACAAAAATGAAAATATATCGTTGTTTTGTAGCTACTCAAATCTTTCTTCTAATGCATTTATATCTATATCTAAAATGGGAAAAAATAAATTTATTTTAAATTACTGGATCGTCTTCAGTTTCATATTTAAACTGGCGTTTCATTTTTCTTGGGCGAATTCTTGCGGACTGCTCAAATTGTGGTTCTATTTCTAAAATCTCGGCTACGTCTCTAGCGTCCACTAAAATTTTTTCATTTTATCTGATCGTAATTCCTCAATATTTTGAAATCAATTCTGTTGCTGTATGTATGTGGAATGCCATTTCCTGTAGACTTTTACTAAATAGGTTAATTTTGTACAATATCTGATACCAAATAATAATAGAGCAAATAATTATGTTGCTCTTAATTTTTTTAGCCAAATTTCTGGCAGTATTTTTACCAAAAGCGTCAGTCTTATTGTCATTGGAAGCCTCATATGGGGCATCATATATTTGTCCAATTTGATAACGAAAGGGAGTGACTGCGTTAATACGACTTTCCCAACGAGTTTGACTCAATGACTTAAGGATCAAATCCGAAACATTACTTTTTAATATTTCCAACCGATATGTAGATCCAGAAAAATAGTTATATATTTCTTGGACGATTCCGAAAAATGAAACAGCTTCTGCGCATGGTAATGCTGCGTCGTTAAGTACCAAATCTGGTGAATGAGCACTACAAGGAACAAAAAAGCCCTAAAATTTAGATCAAGTATTCGTTTTTGCTCCCCTGAATGTTTCAATTATTTGACCCATTGGCCTCTCATTTCACATAATTGATTATTTAACTTTCCCAACTCTTCTAATAAAATCTTTGTTAGGCGTTCTCCTGTAGAAATATTTACTGGTACGAATCCCAAAAACCTCTCCTTTATGGCAACTTCTCACCCAGGTTTAACTTGTACATAACGAATAATTAGCATAGTTTGCCACATGTCTTACATCTAGAGATGCAATCCAGAGATAACAGGTGCAATCCAATATGATCGAAGAATAATACTTGGATTTTAAAACGTCACTCACTATCTTTTTGATTAAAGCTAACCCAAGTAAACTAATTATTTAATTTTGAATATCCTTGCCTAAATAGTGAGCGTAGATTTCTTTAGATAGATGATCAGCACCAACAACAAAGTCAAATTTACCAATAAACTCTATTAGTTTCAAAAAGTTTCCATTATTTCTACTGTATATATTTATCCGTTGATGAGGCCTGTAAGAATCTTACCCTTTACAGGCTCCATTATGCTATGATTCTGAAGCGGAGCGTATTCCATGTTTTTACCAGCTGTCGGCTTTGGGTTAACGATCGATAATAGAAAGAAACAAGCACACCTGCATTTAACACTGTTTATTTTACATGAAGAACACCACACTACATTTATTAATTATTTTCACTATGTACACATACTGTACTCAGAACATTTATATATTGGTCGCCATTAGAGCGTGGGTTTTTACCCAAATGTCGATGTATCTGTTATCATAGTTGAGACGAGTCTGAAGGACACCTTGCTGCGCTTGGCGTGGTTCCAAAACCGTTACGGCTTACGCAATTATTTTACCAACAGATTTTCTTTGTCCAATCATTATTATCGATTTCAAATTCGTGCATCTGTATTGGATAACAACCGCGCTAGTTGTTTTCACTTTATTGACTTTGACAACCTTGCTGAATAGATACTAGTAAATGTTCTAGTCATTTCTGCAATTCTGATATTTTTGTTAAGGGTATTCTTAACATCCTTATTACCACAAAAAACTAAATTTTGAGAAGTCAAAAATTGAACGCCGTGCTTCATTTTCTATAATTCGCAGATTTTCTGCGTCAATAAATATAAACGTGTTGATGCAGTTCACTCCAGTGAGTTCAGACATGTGTTCAGGGCCGACTAAAGGGGGGGGCAGCCGGGACTAATTCCCGGGGCCCGGGCTTAAATGGGGGCCCGGTAGCGCTGTAAGGGGGGCCCGACAACAGCATTTTTTGTTCTGCATAAGAAATTCGACACAAGATGAGAGTGGGAAGTTAAGTTTCGGCTGAGGACTTTTTTTTAGAAGAAGAAGAAGAAGAAGTAATTGAGGTAGGGAGAATAGCTTTTCGATGCGAGGACCTTTCTTTTTTTTTTTAGAAGAAGAAGAAGAAGAAGAAGCAATTGAGGTAGGGAGAATAGTTTTTTCTTTAGGAAAAATTCTATAATTCTATTTCAGTAGAAGAAGAACAGTTTTTGGTTAAAGATCGGGGGCCGATCTAGAGAATTGTCCTGGGGCCCGGCCTGGCTCTCAGCGGCCCTGAATGTGTTTCCAGTCTGAAAATCCCGTACTTGAGGAGAGAGACATTCGAACAGTACTGAAGAGGCGACAACAAAAACAAAATATAGAATTTTTAGTTTTTGAATAAATTAGCTACACACGTAATACATCTTCACCATTGCATAGTTGCCTTGTATAGTTATTAGTTGTAAATCGGCGTCCTTCTTGGTTAATTGGAAACTGTATATTAGTAATTTGAACCGGTCCACATTTAACAATAATTTGATGTTAAGAATCACTTATATGTACAGGCCAATCTCCTGGATTGTGTATCATTATTACCTAATTCCTCTGAAAAATTTATTAAATGTATATTTAATTAATTAGATTTTATTTTAAAAATACCATATCTCTTGTGAAAATTATACCAATACTTTGTTACATCAACATCACTATCATTATCAAGTACTGATATTTTTTCTTTCATCTCAATCTCAATATTCTCAATCTAGTCACATTTCTGTATTTCGAATATTTTTCTAGTATCATGTCTTAATTTTTGTCGGTGGTAAGGCATCCCTTGCATTAGGCGAGAATCTTTGGCCGATATTTCTCTAACAAAAAGGTCCTCGCCTTGGATTTTTCGTAAACGAGAACCTTTTAGCCGATATTTCTCAAAAAAAAATCTTCACTTGCCTATATTTTTCTACAAATCCAGATTCCTTCTTTTTATTTACGTCATTGAATATTAAAAAAGCGTGGCATTTACATAAAAAGAGTAGCATTTGCATCAAAAGAGTGGCATTTTTGTCAAAAGCGGAATATTTTCGTACTATGGCGTTGAGCGTACAAGCAAGTCAAAAGGCATGGAAAATACGTCTAAAGCGTAAACCTTAGACGCGTACGTGCTCAAATCTGTACCCGCCTTTATGACACCAAAAGTGTTTACCGAATTTAGTAAAATTATACTGAGAATTAAAAAAAAATATAGCCATTAATAAGTTTTGAATTTTCAACTTTAACATCCTGTATTTCGAAAACCAGTAATATTTTATTGAAGCATGTTGCTTTTAATCGTATTATTTTTAATCAAAGAAACTTTAGTTGTTCTTTGTCCCTTTCTTAATGAGACCCTATATAACCAAACTAGAAGCAAAGAAGGTATAAAAGAATTTAAAACTAGAGATGAGCGATTATGTTTTTTTATTTTATTATAATCGTGATTGTATTGGGTTATGTTCTCTATCAAATATGTAGGCTAATTTATATATTGGTTAGATATATTAAAATTTTATTGGGCTCATGTATCATGATATTATTTTCATCTAATATAATACTGATGTTGTTGTTTTCAACATTATTTTTATTCGTTAACCCTTTGATAATATTCCAGGTCATGCTAAATAAAATATGGAATTAAAATAATTGCAAATTTGTATGAAACTGTAAATTGTTAAAACTTACAGCTCTTGTTACGTAATATACTATAAAATGTTTGTCTTCTTTTTTACAGTCCGTCGAACAGGACCGTCACATCCTGCGAAGGAAACTCCATTCGAAAGAATCCGAACTCGACGCGCGAATCATCGAACTACAAAACGATATCTCGGAACTGACGTCGAAGCTCAACGCCAAAGATAATCTCCTGAAGCAATGGGAGCGCGACAAGAGCGGTCTCATGGCGGAGCTGAGCGCTCAGAACACAAGGTTGACGACGCAGTTGAAGGAGGCGTCTCAGAAGGAGCTGCAACTCAGGAGAGAGCTCGACGAGTATAAGGAGAGATTGACTTTGGGGAAGAGTAGTTTGCAGGTAAGCTTCGTCTTATTTAAATGATCTCTTTCTATCTCTAAATATATCCTAATAACTGTTACTGACTTCGGTATTATACGCCGACACTCGAACGGTGGATATAACTATTGAAATTTTATAGAAAGTTTCTAGACACTTTGAAACACACTATACATAACAATTTTGGGTCCGCTGACACTAAAAAATTTTTTTTTACCTTAAAATCCTTAAAATTTGTCTCCATCATAAAACAAATGTGAAATAAACCATTTTCACTGATTTCTTGTTGTAGAAACTGCTAAATAATAATATTAGACCATTCATAGAGCAATAAACCATACCAAATTTTTTCATAAACGATCATATTTTTTTATTTTTCATTTTTAGTTTGTTAGAAAAACAATGTTAATGAGAATACTGGGATACAAGAAATGGCTTTAAGTTACACCCAGGCCAGTCACGAAGGTCCTGGCGCACAATTTTTGACAATGACAATTAATTTGTGCATTTTGTAATTAATTCCATGTTTCGTAATCGTTAAATAAATGCAAATGGCACTCATATTTCAAATTATACTATTTATTTTAAACGTCATTTCAGATAGAGCAACTGTTAGTACTCCTTATTTTCAGTCAATACCGTTTTCAGTATCACTGCAGTACTTTTATTTTTCTATTGGCGCTGGCCAAATGTACAGTAGATAAAAAATGAACACACTCAAATTTATTAATCGACAATGTAAAAAAAGGTGTTTCCTGTTTGGACAATAAAGGTTATTTTTTTATCACTTACTCTACGACGAATTGTAGATACTTTATAAAAATATTTTTTCTAGGAGCACATGAGTAGCGTCACTGGTTTGAGAGACGAACTAGAATTAACGGCCGAAAAGAATCAAGAGCTTGAAAGGCGGCTGCAAATAGCGGCCGGGGAGAGAGATAATATAGCACTAGCTTTAGAAGAAGCGTCAGATAGAATATTAATGTTGGAAAGGCACGCCAGGGAGCAGGATATGAGGTATCAACAGAGTCTCAAAGAGTATTCTTTACCCCAGGAGAAGCTATCCATCGAAGAAAGGCTGAGTGGTAAGGGAAACTTTAGGAATGCATGTTAAGGTTATAAAATTCGATAAAAAATATGTAATTGTACAAATGTAAATAGTTGAGAAGCCAATAAGTGATATCTCACAATTATATTAAAGATGGAGTGATCCACAAAAATGTTTCTAACGTAGGCGTTGGAAAAAATCACGTATGTCGGATCGTTCAATTCTTCTTTTTTAGATTTAATTCAAAGCCGTCCGTAATTGTCAAAAACATGACTCTTCTTTGTCGGGCATGGCCTACTTTAGAAAAATGTTTGTGAATCATTCTTTAATATTAGACAAACTTACATAATAACATTAAAAATCTTATAACTTTATCCATCTATAATTTAAAGCATGTTTTCTTCTTCAAACATATATGTTTTTCAATATATTTGTTGAATGCTTTAGAAATATCTTTAATTCCAAATTAAAAAAATTCTAATTTAAAATAAATGATTTTTTTCATATTTTCACATAGTTTTCGAAATATTTAAATATTTAAGATGTTTCTAAATCTTCTCATTAAGAATCATATCATCAAAAAAAATCCCAACCATAACACAAATGCACTAAGTTTCTTAGTCTCTATCTATAAAACATTTGTTTAACAAGTTAATGGAAGTCCCAAACTCGCTTGCTACATTCAAAAAGAAAAGGATCAAAGAAATAAACTAGATTAGATTTGAAAGGAGTTTGACATAATTTGACCTTGTCCAGCACGATCTTTTCAGATTGTATCGTGAGACTACGTTATTTAGAGTGTGTCGTTTACCTTGGTCTTTTTTATTAGACTTAGTAGCAGCTTTGACAGTGGCTCCTGCATATGGTTACATGCTCCTGGGTATTCTTCACCTAGTATTAGAAACCTAAATCTAGCCAGACCGGATACCGGACGTGGATTGATGTTTTATCTTCTTCTTCACAGAACCTGTACAATTTTGCTTCTTCTGCTAGATTGATGACATTCATGTGCTTTCTTAGGCGACAGTATCCTGTAAGAAAACTTACTGTTATTCTAACGATTTGTCGTTTTTGATCCAGAAGGTATTTTGTGAACTTGGACGACAGTTCCTTAGGGTCGGTCTTTTCACGTTCAGATAAAGTTATAGTTAACTAACCAACGAATTTATTATCCTAGAGTCACTATCTGACAGATAATTAGGTTGCCGTCCTTTCAAGAGAAATAATTTGTAGGGTAGTTATCTGGTACTTTTTAAAGTTTTGTGGCCATATCAATGTATTTATATGTATGCGATATGTCACTCTCACTGTCGCTTGTTGTCGTTATTTTGTTTTGTCACTTATTTGAAAGAAGTTTTTCTAAACTCCTGGACAAAATTAACGCAACATCATAAATTTGCCACATTTTTGATGTTTTTTTTTTTTAATTTGGTGTGATCGGCGTCGACTACTACGGCCATTGGCCTCATATTTTTTTTTAATTTATGATCGGTTTTGAATGATTTTTTTTGCATTATAGGTTGGTTCCTTGACAATGTCATTATTTTCGCTGTTTATGATAAAAAGTTTCTTTTCAATTTATACCAGGTATAATAAAAATGTAATGTTTTTTCCGAAAATTCGTATCACCCTGTGGAGTATACTTGCAACCTAAACATATAGCAGTTGACATTAGACGGTATGTCCAACTTTCGCCAACATTTCCCTTTTTGGTTTACTTCATTATATCTGTAAAGGAGATACGCCGTTTTATAGCGTAACATGTTTTAATATACTTTATTATTCAAAACATTCATTGTTAAATATTTTCAAGTATGCTATGGACCTTTTCTGACATTTCAAGCGATGTGTCAATATCGAATACGTTATTTGATATCTGTATAACTGTATAATTTCTGCTCGCTTTGATAAATGAAAACAATATTAACGAGTTACTTTATTTAATAAAGTAAAATTAAGATTATAATTATTGTGAGTTTATTAAACACAATTTTTTTTGGGAACGGGTGAAACATGAAAAGAACAAAAATCAAGACAATACTAATTAACAGTGTTGTTCCTAAAGTGGCGCTGGGAAACAGTGACAAAGCCTACACAGAACACGAGGCTAATAACCATAGCAGTTGATGCCGATGACATAAAAAAAAATATATAAAATTAATAGATTTATAATGTTAATAACGTGTATGCCCATCTCTACTTCGAATCACTGCATTTATACGTTTCGGCATACTGGAAATTAAATTTTTAATTGTATCTTGGGGAATATCCTCCCTTTCGGCAATTACTGCATCCACCAATTGTTTGTGGTTAACCGGTATGGGATTACGAATTACGGATTTAAATCGGGACTGCAAGGTGACCATTCCATCAACGGAATAGCTACAGAGTTCATGTACTCTATAACTTGACTAGCCACGTGAGAACGAGCATTATCCTGCATAAATAAACTATTCGGTCCCAAAAAAAGAACAAATGGCATTACATGTTCCATCACAATGTTTTCTAGATAATAATCGGCGTTCATTGATCTTACATCCGTTGAAGCATATTCCTCCCCAAAACATTACAGAGCCTCCACCAAACGGGATTTTTGGAGAGATATTTTAACTTGCAAATCTCTCTCCTGCCCTTAGGAGAATTGAGACTAACTCTCGTTTCATCAGAAAATAAAATCGTCTTCCAATCATTAACAGTTCAATGTTGATCATTTCTGGCAAAACGCAATCTTGCAACTCTGTGCTCTCTGGTGAGTAATTGTTTCTTTACCGGTCTTCTGTTGCTTAAACCAGCCTCATTTAAACGTCTCCTGAGTGTTCGAGACGATATTGTATGATGGTGAGCAGTTCTAATCTCACTATTTAGCCTAGTACTAGTGATCTTCCTGTTTCTTAGAGCAGTTTGCCTAATAAAACGTTCATCCCTTGAATCGGTACATCGTTTTCGTCCTTCGAGAGTAAGATTCTGTCTCGTTAAATCGTTCAACTATACGACTTATAGTCGAACGATGTCTTCCTATCACATTAGCAACATGACACATCGAATAGCTCTCATCCACCAAAGTCAAGGCTCTTTTACTGCTTCTTCTGCTGATACATTTTTCAAGATTAAAATACTCGTCGAGCAACTGGGCATACGAAAGATGGTCTAATGTAAACTGCTATATATTTCGGTTGCTAGTATCCACCATTTCATTTTAATTACACCCGGTATAAATCGAAAAGGAACTTTTTATCATAAACAGCGAAAATTATGACATTGTCAAGGAAGCAACCTATAATGCAAAAAAAAATCATTCAAATCGGATTATAAATTCAAAAAAAAATAACATCAAAAATGTGGCAAATTTATGATGTTGCGTTAATTTTGTCCACGAGTTTATTTTTCTGAAAAAATTCGTTATTTAAAACTCCATAAAGCAAGTGACAAAAAAGAAAAGATCGACCAACTTTCAATAAGCAAGAGGATGCTTGAAACACAAAACAGTACTGGAAAATAAAAAACTGATTCTGGAATCTGTTGTATTGTAATTACCATAGATTGTTCCTTTGATTAAATTGAATTTTTCAAAGGTGTAGTTTTTTTATTGTGTGTGTATTTGCCATATACTATTTTATATATTATGTAAGGTTAGTTTTTATTTATTATATCGTTTATTTTTCCAAGTATTTTTTGAGAATAAATATACAATTATACGAAACAAACAAGTAAACCACTATTTTCAAAAACCCAACATCTTCAACAACATCGATAAAAGCAAATAATATATGTTGACTCTTATCACATATTATTATGTCATATACCTACTTATCTATCAGTTAACTACTTTATCAGGAAGTTCAGAGGTAAGATAAGTTATCTTTCAGATAAGACCAATTTATCTGTCGGTTAGCTTTAACCAAAGATATAATATGTTGTCTATCGTTTTAACCAAAAGTGAAAAGATGACTTTTTAAGTTATCGGGTATATAACAATTACCTGGCACTTTATCTAAAGGTGAAAAGACCAACCCTTAAAGAACTATTTGGCCTGTTCAATCATGGATAGTTACTACTCCATTCCTGAGACTCTTTGCATCCATTGTTTGATGGATACCTTGCACAACGCATGAACTTAGTTAAGCCTTCTCAAAGGAATAAGAACCAATGTCAGGAAACGTATGAATCATTGATGGATCTAAAACTGTCACACGCATTAGTTAACAGTCACAGAACATTCTGATAGCCTTCTATTCGATTCCACTGATCTGTTATTAGTATATTACTGCTCACTCACGCTCAGTGATGTATTCTGAGACGCCATTTTGTAGAGCACACTTTATATTAATGCAATTTCTTTGCAATTTTTTTTACAATGAACATTAATAAATTAATTCATGTTTATGACGCATCTGTCAATTTAACCAACACGGGAATCCCAGAAAATGAAATAGTATAACAACCAGCTACAGAAAAATGTACATATTATAATCAATCTACCAGATTGGTAATGAATACCCTTGAATTCCATTTTGTTTGCGAAATTACATGTAGTTGACGGTTTTTATTAATAAAAAACATGTGTTGTGTGCTTTAATCTTACAAAAACTAATCTTGTATCATTTTTACTAACCCTATTTACTAACTCCGAATGTATATGTCTGACCAGCTGGTGAAGAAAGATCTCTCTTATCAGAAATGGACATTTCCGAGCCGACACTATCCCAGGAGTGCATGTCAGTGTATCGACAATTACGATCCCTCGTCCAACAACTCAAATCTCATTCCGACGATGATAGCGGATTACATTCGGATTGCTCTACTACCTCATTAGACGATTCAACAAGGTAAGACCGAACTCATAAAAGACGTCGCAAACCATCGTATTAAATTAATATAATACGAGCCCTAACAGTGTATTTAGTATTATATTGCTTTATGCATAATATAAACATTTATAAGGAAATCATCTGTGTATACTTTCAAAGAGATTTACTTATTAGAATATTCTCATAAGTGTTAAAAATGTATTTTTTAACAGATACTTTAAAAATCAACCTGTTTAATAAATTTGCTTTGTAGGCTTCATAAGAGAACATCGATAAGAAAAATTGTGATAGCTATGCAAAACGATTGAAAAAATTATGTAATGTCAAAATCAGTAAATTTGTACACCAAAATAAGAATATTTCAATAACAATTGAAAGAAAATTCTAAAATATCCTTCCATTGTGATTCATGGTCCTTCGAACCGGATTTTTAAAACTATTTGAAACTAAACTAATGCGTAAAGTATACAAAAATGACTATTAGTGTTGACAAGTACATATTGGGACGTTTCAGTAAGTTAATATAAAAATAATTTTTAATAACTTGTAACATCTCTTCTTGACTTAATAACAGCTTGAATATGATTTGGCATACAATTCCAAGCTTTGTACAAAATTCAGGAGTTGTCGCTTCCCAGATTTGTTTTAATTTGGCTCTAAAATCCTTTTGTGTTCTTCTGGGATTATTTCGAAGGTATTTTTTTCATTTTGTGCCAAACATTTCCGATTACATTTTGGTCTGTACTGTTTGCGGCCCTTCCTTAGCCGAATGCGCAATATGACACGAAGCATCATCCTGTGGCAAAATAAAATCGCCGTCAATTCCACATAATTGACAAAATCTTGCCAATAATAGCTATTTGTGTAACCTTACAAAATGTCCTATTTTATGTAACGAGTGAATATTTGCGAGGTCCCGCAACATGAACAAGTTGAATATGCTATTTCGTAACCACTTTCATAATGTTCAACATTATGCAACTGGTTGCGCAAAGTAGATAATTTTGACACTTGGTGCGATTTCAAAAAATATCACTTTATATGTCAAAATTAGAAAAAAAATTAAATCGCCTTATATTTTTTAATGCGTTAATTGTTTCGTCAATAAACTCTAGTTCTCCTGAATCACTAACAGACATACCACCCCATATCATTTTTTCCTTTTACAAATTTGACTCTTCTTTTGACTTTATGGAAGTATTCTTTCTTATTTTGAATCACCAGTTTCCTACAATCTCCCACAGAAACGTCAAAGTTACTCATTACTGACTATAAGTTTTTCCAGTCGTCCAACATCCAACTTTTCTTGGATTTTGTTCAATTTAAGCATTTTATTTTCTGGGCTGCAGTTAGTTTTTTCTTGGCCCAATATAGTTACTTATGTAATTAATTCAAATACTCATTCCCTAATGTTCAGATATTATTTACCTTGTACAATCCAAGTCCTGTTTTATGTATTCGCTCCGTGCGAAGTCATGGAAAGGGAAGCAAAAGCGATACTAGCGCTAGCTGCGGATAATTAGTGCATTTTAGGGCGATATTTTGTAATTTTGGCATATCAAATACACGTATACATTATACTTTTTTTTTCAAAAAAGTAGGTAAAAACAATACAATAAGCAACCGGAGTCGCTGTGTTGAAAATTGTACAAATACTAGCAAAAAAAACAGTGAATCTTATATAAAACATTTTAGTAGCAAGTGAAAATTAAATCAAAGAAATAAATGGATAGGTGTACAATAAGAAGAAAAATTACCTTTATTTTTGTAATTATAACGGTAATGCTGGAAATAGTAGACATCAGAAACTTGAAAGGTTTTAAATAAACAATAAATTATCATTTTACGATGTTCTTTAATATCCCTTTATTCTTAAATGTTCATTCATCAAGGACTAGATTTCAAGATTTCTGCCTTTGATTATGATATGTGGCTGGAATGCAATTTTGTGACTTACTGATGGGAATCTAGTTTTAATCATTCATTCTGTTTTCTTTCGAACAAAAATGAAAATATAAAAACGACCTTTTTTATACATTTTAACTTCACGCTATTATTAAATGGTATTTTTTTTATTTTGACAGAATAGGCTAATTTTTCAATGACAACTTATTAGACTTAGGGAACTTCTCATACATTTTTCAGTAAATACTATTGCCTGCCTATATTTTATTGATTATACATAATTTTCTTTAATTTAAGCGATAAAAATATATAATAATAATAATAAATTAATGTTTTACTTGTTTTACAAATCCATATACTTTTATTAAAACTAACATATAATATGCTTTTTAATTACGAATTCTATTAAAAATTGTATTTGTCAGTATAGGCAGAAATAGTCCATTAGTACCAAATCGAATTGGCGCTGCTGTCGCGCACGGAGCGAATATATTTCCGACATTTTCTAAACGTATGTTACCATTATTTAAAACATTTATTCACCTATTTAGTAATACAAATATATACAATGCATTCTAACATAACACTCAAGCTAGGCTTGTGCGGACCTTACGGTAACCCGATCCGGCCATGTCGATATCTTCGCACCTGATAGAAAACCTTGTTTTTAATTTTGAATGTCGCTAAATATAGCATGCATCCTATAAGACAGTGATTTCCCTCAAAGTTCTTTTTTGGTGTTGCGTGCAAATTTTTACCAAACCCTTTTACATCTTCCTGTTATAATTTTTGGTCTACGATTACTTTTCCTTTAATTTTAATAGTTCCCCTTAGGCCCTAATTTTTCCCACTAAAAAGTTAGTCATTTTTTATATCAGTCGGTGTTTCCATTACGGATTTTCCTTTACTATAATATTGTGCGATAATAATTCCGCGTAATTTTTGTGGTATAGTGACACCTTTCACCAATTTAAAAAAGAATACAAAATCTTATTTGCTTAAATTTTGAAAATATTTTATTAACCCAATTAACAGATAAATAATATTTTGTTTTCCATGTCTACTTAATAATATTCGTCTACCGCCCAACATTAGTGGTCAATGAAAAACGTGTAATTACGAAAAATAAATTGAATGAAACAAACTATAAAATTCTGATAATCGGAAGCGGTTCAAAGATGTTGAAAAACATGTTCTCAAATTTAAAAGTAGTGGCCAACTATCTCAAAGTACCACGACCCAGTGGCGTAGATAAAGGGGATCAATTTAATACTTCTTTTTGTGCCACATTTAGTAGTCTATTCGGTATCATGCAGTTGCTAGCTAGCAAGTGGCTTAGACCAAGGTCAGTCGTTATGTTACCACTTTGAAAAAAATCAGAATTCTCTAAAGTAATATCTGTAACAAAAGTGGATATAAAAGTGGATTTCGAGTGACTTAGAAGCAATCAAATATTCTTGGTGGTTAAGCATAACAACTAGTTGCTGAGACATAAATATGGACTTTTGGATAATAAATATATCAAGAAATTAATAGGAGGTACTCGGAACTTATCATATTTTTTTTTAATGATTTGTTTTAGGAATAAATTATAAGCACAGGCCTGTCACTCCCTATACTTCCCATGTTAAATTCTGGCTCAAATCTCAAGTACCTCGGTACTTCTTCCCTATTAGTCTGGGGTTTTTTTGACAAGTCTGGGGTTTTCTTGACAAGTCTGGGGTCACCAATCACCACGTTAATTGCTGACACATGAAAAAAATTACATCTAAAAGTAAAAAATATTCAGCTTTTAAGCCACTTGAAGACAAAATTAGTGTGTTATTACAAAATTTATGTTTTTTTGGTTTTAAAAATAATGTTGATCTCGATGCCTCCTCCCTATTGGTCTGAAGTATTTTTGACATGTCTGGTGTCACCAATCAGAACATTGGTTGCTGTCACATGAGAAAAATGACATCTAGAAAATTGATTAGTATTTTTGCAGTTTTTCACTGCACAGACCTTTACGATGTAATTTGTAATAAAAAATACAGATCTATAACAAAATTCGATTACAAATAAATGTTCAAACCAAAAAGAGAAATTATTAGAAACCTGGGCTATATTAGATTAGATACATTTTACCCGCGTAAAATATTTTGAATTTTCAAAGTCGCAGGCTTTCAGATCGATTGACATTTAAGTGCGATCTCTTGTGTTAACTATACTCTTTGGTATAAGCCTTCAGCAAAACCTACTATTTATTGTCTGTAATCTGTATCTGTAAGATGTGTTCCCCTTACATTAGTTAGGACTCAATAACCCCATTGTGCATCCTCCAGATGCTGCCTTTCAGGTGATATGTCTATAGGGATGACTACTTCTCAGATCGTCAGAAGGCCTGCAGATCTGCTTGAGATAAAATTGCATAATATATTTTGCTGTATTAAGTTTTTTTTAATTTCAAACCAATCCACCAATAAAATGTAACCATTTTCAAATGATAAAATTACACTTCACTTGACGTCCCAGCACTTTCAACTTCCAACTCGAAGGTTAAGTTGTTAAAAGCCTGATCTACACCACACTTACAAGTTGTATTATTTTTATATCAACCGTATAACAACTTTAACAAAAGTACCGTCAAACGGGGTTAAGTGAATCACAAAGGGTAAAGTGAACCATTCGGTCATTTCCGTTGTAAGTGACGAATATTATATTTTTAGTTCGTAAATTTCCTCTCTGCTTTATGATTAAAAGCTGTTTTTTTTTTACTATTTTTAAATAAACGTTTTTGTTCTTTGTATTACGTTCATTTATTTATTTTTCCAACCAAGTGTTTAAAATATTTTTTTAGTGGTTCACTTTACCCCGACATTTGCCAAAGTGATTTTCTTTGTGATTTAAACCATGATTCACTTTACCCCAAAATAAGGGGTAAATATATATTTTACCAAAAAAATTGGGCATTTCTAAGTAAAATCAAAATCTAAAAATGAGTTAATAGTGAGAGGTAAGCCCCAAACAACATACGTTATTTTTTTACAGATTTTTAATATTTGTAGTTTTGGAATATTCTGAGAAAAACCGCTTTTTGTGATTCACTTAACCCCGTTTGACGGTAGCTATTCTAGTATTCACGGTTGTTATAAAGTTGTATGTGTGGTGTAAATCAGGCTTTTAACAACTTAACCTTCAAGTCAATGAGGTTTATAGTATATCCCGGTCATGGACGTTAAGCGAAATATAATTTATTATTTGGGACTTTTTATTTTTGTTGGTGGACTGATTTGAAATTAGAAAAAGTCATAAATATGTAGTTTTAAACTTTCATCAAGACTGGAAAATTTAATGTGCAATTTTATCGCAAGCAGAGATGCAGGCCTTTTGATGATCTAAGAGGTGGTTCCTGTCAGTGACGTTATATATCAACCAACAGACGTTTTGAAGCTCTGAGAGGCAGATCTTAAATTCCCGTGAAGGATGCACAGTGGGCCTATTGAGGCCTACGTGACATGGAGGGTCACCCCTCCTTACATATACAGATCGCAAGAAGTAGGATACCCTCTGTTGAAATCTTACTTCATTCCTAAATCAAACTATTAGAGAAAATAATATATCTATTTAGTTCTGATATTCTATCAGTAAATATACCTTCCATTAATTTCTTGGTCTATTAAAATATTTTTTATCCAGGGTCCATAATATTTCTTTCTAGTAACTAGTTGTTACGCTTAACCATCAAGAATATTTGGTTGCTTCCAAATAACTCTGAATCAACTTTTGTGACCACTAGTTGTTATAGATTTTACTTAAAGAATTCTGATTTTCTCAAAGTGGTAATACAACAACTGACCTTGATCATAGCAACTTGGTCGGTAGCATAACTGTATGATACAGCATAGACTAATATAGCAATCGTGAATTCTAGAATAGCTACTTTTGTCAAAGTTGTTATAAACAGTTCCTATGAAAGTGGTAAGATAGCAAGTGATTAGAAAGTTGCCAGATAACAACTATGGTTACATAATAGACCCCATAAGATGTTTTTCATGATTAAGAAGTAGAACTATAACAAAAAGCTATCTACGCCACTGCAACAATATAATATAGTTGTTTGGGCTCATACTTAGCATTATATTTCAAAATTTCACGTATCATTTGAACATTTATTGTCCAAATAACGTGCAGGAAAAAATAAACTAAAAACACTACAGTTTTAAAATCCTAATCAATCATGATCCACTTAAAAAAATTTCTTAGACTAGATAATAAAGAGAGGACTCATAACGTCGCTGAAAATCTTGTGCCATTTTGGCACCAACGGTATTTGACCAAAGGCGTAACATCTTGGAAATAAAAAAACGAACTTGTATTTATGTTATTAGTACGAGTACTTCATTGATCTTTTTAGGTATAAAGCAAGTTCAAAGCGTAAAATTTAAAATAAATAACAAATAAGACACAAGAAAAAAATATATTGAAATAAACTAAATGAAATCGTTTACATAATAAAATGAGTGTTTTTTTTAAATTCCGCAAAATAAAACATAATGATCTATATGTATTACAAAAAGATTTATTTTTACTTAATAAAGAATGACATTGCCCAGATAGCACAGACACGTTTTAAAGACATCTTAAATACGTTTGTTCACGACGTTCGTGACGTTTTGAATATCTACGCTAATATCCAAAAGATGTTTTAAAGGCGCCTATAGGACGTAATTTGTTACAAAACAAGGCGTCTTTAGGACATCTAATTTTGTACATCTTTAAGACATCCAGTTTTGTACGTCTTGAAGACAAACCGCATTGGACGTGTTTAAGTCGTCTATTTACTTGATGGAAATAAATGAATACTTGTCTACTATATTTAATACTGTTTATTATATATTATTAAACTATTAAAACTGACACAGAGTAAATATTATTTTACTGTGTTGGATAAAATAATTAAAAAATGACTTCAAGTACCTGTTGCTATGAGAAACTATTCCAGTTTAGTCGATTTAAAAATTTATTTTATGGTATTAATTTTAGCCAAAGCGTTTGTAACTAATGTCTCCGTAGCATATAAGTTTGTTGAATTATTGTTTTAAGGTGTTTTTCTAAAAAATAAGACATTATTGAATTGAGGTTATGAAATTAAAAGACAAATAAATTAAAACTTACCGTTTTTAATGATAAAGTTTACTAGTTCCGGTACCATAGTTCCAATAATGGCAAATAAATAATATAAAAAGACAATATATAAAAACACACAACCACGAAAAAGTAATGACAATGTCCACAGACTCTAAAAATATTATACAATGGCTGTCCCGAGAAGAAGGCAGCTAGAGGAAGAACACGACTCGATACGCGCGCGCGAGACTCCAATCAGCCAATGACAATGACGATCTACATGCGCTGCAGGCAGCTACAAGAACGCTGTCATGGCGCCATATTGAAATATAGCGAAAAGAGTTGAACGTCCACATTACAGACATATTTAAAACGTCCTAAAAACATCCCAACAAAGACGTTTTAAACATGTCCTGAGCAGGGCGTCTTAAAACCGTCCATTTTACGTACCAAGACGTTTGGACGAAAGTAAGACATGAACTGAACGTCTTTAAGATGTAGTGTGCTCTCTAGATATTATTAAATTAAGCTAGTAAGAAAAATTATACATAAATGAAGATAAATTTATTACTGACCCTTAACTAATACTAAACATTGCTGCAATTAAATAAGAAGCAAAAGTAAATTAGGATTTATTGAAAGTTAATATTTAGAATTATACGACACGCCACTGGAAAAAATTACATGTTTGGCCATTTTAATATCATTAATTGCTTAAATATCAATGAAAAGCATAAAATAAACAAACTTTGTGGGTAAAATTTATTACTCTGGAGTGAGACATGTACAATATGTAAATACCAAGTTGTAAACACCAAATGAAATGAAAAATATAAGAAAATATATAAAGTGAAAACGATTGATGTTTATCATTTACCTGCAAAACGTAATATCTGCTTATTTCTTGCCGCTATAACTTTAACACTGATATGCCACACAATAAACCATTGTAATAAACCAAATATTAAATGTCGTTTAATTCAGAAATCAGAAATAAACACGAACAAAAACTTTGGTGTCACCGAAATGATTAGCACCAAAATAATGGCGGCCAATAGATAATCGGCACAGAATACTACGTGTGCTCGATATACTTGTTACGCGTCCTCTCTTTATTACCTAGTCTAAGAAAAATTTACTAATTAATTGAAGTTTAACATTCATTTACAAGCGAAGCTGGTTTCCAAAGCTGCCTCCGTTAAATTAGTTTACTTATAAAGCCCATGTAAATTGTAAATTTAAAAATTCTGTTTTTACTTTTTTTTGTAGATTTGTACCGGGTATGCTCACCGAAGTGGCTCAGGAATTGGTGGGTTTAGTTTTAGATACCGATGTAGTTAGACTGTTAGAAAGACTGGAGCAAGCGCGACGTGAAATACAAGAAAGGGACGAGGAACTTGCCAGGAGATCGGAAAAAATCATGAAGCTGAATACGAAAGTAAGTTATTATTCTCACTGTAGAGTGTAGATTGCCTCATGTGTTGGCTCTGAATACATTGTTTGTAACACATTAATAAAACTCTGCATATGGTATTTTGTAAAGTGTAAATTGGTATTAAAAAGTGCCAGAACTAAAAGAAGAACTGTCAAAAACGATCTAAGAAATTCAGAATTTAATTTTTTTCTAAATTTTAATCAACATTTTTCACCTTTATTTTAATCAATTAGAGGCTTAAAAAAGTATGTTAATTAAATGTCTTTGAATATATACATAAATTTATTTTAATTTACCACTATTGAAGAATTATCCATGCTTTTCACACACTACTTCATTTAAAAAACGTTTTTAATACCTATTTTGCAAAAATAACTATTTACGTAATGTTATTGACCTTTTCCTTATTGTTTATTAACTGTTCTTCTAACTCCTTTGTCTTCCAATGGGAATATAATTACTATCTACCATCTCCGTATTTGTTTTCGGAATTTTAATAATGCATTTTATAAAAGCGTGAACAAAAGGCGGAATTACTGATGATTCGTGAATGAATTTGCCGGCGGTTGTGAAAACAGATATGCAAAGTTTAAAGTTTATATCACTGTATTTGACTAATATTGAATATAATTTTATGAGAAGTTGTGAAAAAATGCTCTTGTTTTATCAGTAGAACCGGGGGACCGAACATCTTCGACGCTTCAAATTTCGAGAAGATTTCAAAAGATACACAAGGCGCGTGTCGCTGCGTGTATCATTTGAATAGTAAATTTTTGCAAATTAAAAGTTTAAGAAGTTTGAAAAAATGTATATAATTATATAATGTCATTAAATATATCATAATTTTCATCTAAATCTTCTTGACCGGGTTCATCTATTTGGGGCTGTGGGATCTAGCATCTGTTTCAATAATATATTACGAGTTCATGGAGCCTTTATAGGATTGAAAATTACTTTGATTGAACTTTTACGTTTGACTCGAGAGAATGCAACATAGAGCTGGCCATGCGTAAACACATCCGTCGTTAGATCAATGCCGATAAATTCGAAGGTTTGGCCTTGTGACTTAAGGATGGTCATAGGAAAAGCTGGCTTTACAGAGAATTGGTTGCGTTCCATGGAGAATCCCAGACCTGTGTCTGTTTATAAAGTCATTCGTGGAATGTAGGCAACTCTTCCTTTGTGTTATCCAGTCACGATTTTGGCCACGATGAGATTTGGTTCCAATTTGGTAACAATTAAACGTCTCCCATTACAAAGACCTTCATTTACACGTATATTTCGTATAAGCACGGTATCAATACTGGTATTATAGACGACTTCATTGTCAGGGATTCGCTAATGGACAGTATCATTGTACAATGCTGATATCGCATTCAAAGGTGTCAAGATGGCTCGATGAAGGACTTCTTGTTCTCAGTTGTCATAATTTGCAAAGCATGTTCCATGCACATCTTCTATCAGGTTTCCTGTTGATTTAATTAAAGTCATAGCTGACCTTCAGGATTTAAGATGGATTCATAGGATGCTTGATCCAGGTGTTCCGGAAGTTGATTCATCGAGAAATTCATAGTTGATTGATTATTGATTGAAAAGTGTGTAATTTGTGGCCGTAATTTGTAATCTTTGACATCTAGGCGATTTCGTTCATTTAAATTTTTGACCAAATTCTATATCTCGGGAACCACAAAAGTAGGTACCATGATTTTGGTGTCATTTTGCTTCTATAGATGCGATTTCGTTCATTTAAATTTTCGACCGAATTCTATATCTCGGGAACCACAAAAGTAGGTACCATGATTTTGGTGTTATTTTGCTTCTCTAAGTATCCCTAGCTTATATCTGAGTCCGATAAGGTTTTGGCTTTCTCTATCCCGAGATCGCAGCACGGACAGACAGACATTGGTACTTTAATATAGTAGGATTAAAGATTAGTCTCGAGTTTAAAAATCATCCTTCTACCGAAGAAAGCATAGAAAGTTAGTTCTGGAAAATTTTATTCTTCAACCAATAATAAGCTATCGTCTGCTATTTGATTATTTGACATTCTTTGACAACCGTACTTATATCATTTATGTAAATTATAAAAATAAAGGCACCTAAAACTACCCTGTGGGACTCCGCTGGATATATCCTACGCTTGTGACTTTATATTCAGACTAGTGTTGTTATCTTGTAGTTTTAATGTATGTTTGCGGCCACTAATATAATAGTTTAGTTCTTTATTTCTAACTTCGTAATATTGAAGTTTTTTATATAAAATATTGAAATAATACAGCCTATAGCTTTATAGTGCGAGACACAATGAGAATGCAGTGTGAAGTCTTATAAAGCGCGCCGTTGCCAGCCGTCGCTATGCTGGGATCGGCAAAAAAACAGGTCAACACGGGTTTAAATTTTATCTCAATATTTGCATGTTCAATAATAAATAATAAACAATGAATTTCAAAATTACAAATACATAATAAGTTAACAAATAAACAAAATTTACGCAATAGATAAGTCATTGTCGAGGTCTGAAATCTCACTTACAGAACTGTCGCCAAAATTTACTCTTATAATGAGTTCACCAACGTTGTCTTGGAGACACAGTGACCCACATTTCTTTTTCCATTTTTTCTCTGACATGTGCGTAAAACAGTTACCCCATATTTTGTCAGTCTTATATTTGTCGTATTGCTCTCTGTATGCGTTGGCAACTTCAAGTATCTCAGATTTTAAAAAGGATTCGTCAAAGAAAATGTTTTTTTCAAACAGCCAATTTTTTATTTCGGGTTTGTTGCATGAGGTAGCTGGACAACTAAATTTCGTCGCCTTAGTAAGAAAAATGCATAACTCGCATTTTGGTAAAATTTATAGCAGATGCTAATTGTTTTTTTGACTATTACAGTATTTTATCATTGCTATAATGGTCAAAGAACAATTATTTGCACCGGCTATAAATTTTTACTAAAATCATTACGCATTTATCTTACTAATGCGACGATTTACGCGAATGATACGAAGCGTTATCCATAATAACAACGTTCTTTCATTCATTTTTTGGGTAAGTTAGGAAACCATTGCTCAAAGTAGTCGACGTTTATTTAGTCATGATAATCGCCATCGTTTCTCTTTGCCAAGAAAACGCGTGGCGCCAGGTAAAAATCCACCTTCACATCCTGCATGAACAATAACGAAACGTGGACCTCTTTGTGTAGGTGCTTAAGACCTGTGGTTAAATCTTTTATAAAAGCATCTTTACATTTTTTGTTTGATGTTATCACACCATGCATAGTTAATTGTTTGACCCACGTTAACCCAAGTCTCATCTAAATAGAATATCGTAACAATTTTGTTGGCGATATTGTTCGATAGCTCTTAAATACCTGTGGCGCCAATGAATGATGTCGTCTCGTTCTAACATTATACTTTTACAACCACGCTTCACATATTCAAAACGAATATCTTTCATCAATCTACATAGAGTTCTGAAAGACACCGATGGTAAATTCTCATTCCCTCGGATAATATAAATTGCATTCAAAGTTGGCGGAATGTTTAAAAAAATCATTGTTCACAATTTCACTCAGTAAACTCTTAAAATCCTCATTATATGTATATTCGCGAGAATTTGAATGCCTTATCCGCTTTTTTCTTCTTTCAAAAGATTTCAATTCGCCATTGTTTTGTTCCTCCTCTTTCTTGATGGCATAAATTGTTTTTCACTGACACCACTTATTTTGGAAGCACGACCTACCGCTACAATTACTCAATTTATTGTTATTGACTAAGTAACAAATCATTAAAAATCACAATTTTCGTACACGCATGGAGGATTTGTCCACGTTTGAATTTCTTAAGTTCCATGTTGCAGGTAAGAAATCACAACTGAACCAACCCCAAAAAATGTTATTGAGTAATTAAATGACAAAGTTTTGATAATTATTAAAAATTCAAGGGCTTTAAATATGCGTATACAATATGAATTCTCCACATTAGTAGTAAATTCAAATACTAGGCGTTTCAACCGATCTTCAGCTCAATGTAGCGAGTTAACGAATTGCTCGTAAGATATTATAGGATTTGTCTGCAGCAGCCATTCTGCTGCTGAAGATCGGCGGCTGAACACCTGCCTTATGTGGCTCTAAGCCTTGCAAATTTAAAAAAGAAGATATTTGACTTGAATTTTTTGGTTTTTCTGGGTCGGCTTCTTTCTCTAAAATAAATTTTAGCACTGGTTGGTTAAAGATACTTTATTGTTAAAGGAAGTAGGTAAAAAATACATATTTTTAATTTATTCTACCATCATAGGTTCTAGTTCAAAATCAGGCGCTCCGCTGTATCCATCCACATTGTCGTTGATGTCCGTACCGGTTATGTTTATAAAATTGCATGCAATCGTTCGGAATTAAATGCATCACACATTTTTTGTCCTCTATCTTTGGATTTTATACTTTTTTCCTTCAAGCCACAGTGGTATTAGCAAATCTTTAAATAATGCCGGACAACCCATTTGTTTTTGTGATATCTATTTCATCATACGTGTTAAAATTTGTTTTTTAGAAAAAAAAATAAAATTGTTTTTTATCAAGAAGTATCTTACGTGTTTCTAAACAACCCTTTTTTATTTTCAACATCCATTTTTCTATTTATTATCTTAATACACGATTTACCTGACTAAAGCTTGGGCTTTCCCTGTCCTATCCAATAGTTTTTGTCCTCAGAAGAATTCTTTGACATATGCTAATATTATCATTCATATTGTATCACAAAAATATTCATTTCCTATTTTTAATACTTTCTCTCTCTCTCTTTCTCTCTCTCTTTCTCTCTCTACCTACCTCTACCTCTATATCTACCTCTATCTCTATATCTACCTCTATCTCTACCTATATCTGTATACCTATCTCTATCTCTCTCACAGAGAACCACATAACTGTCACCAACTCTCTTCTCTATTATGTAGAAAGCAACCAAGCCGCTTGAATTGCTTCTGCAGACAGGTTACTTGCTTAACCAGTTTAGTCGATTTTGTTCATTGGTTAACAAATAACGCCTAGGTACCAGAATATGGCCGGGACCTTTTTTGCAGTTTAAAAATCAAAAATTTGTGGGCTGCTTCCTTTCTGTAGAAAGCCGTCCAATTAGACATTAAGAAGGACAAACAGTCCTCATATGCAACTAAGAATACATGTTTTAATAACATTGACTACTGCAATGAAATATGTCTGACTGGATTCTTAGTGTGTCCAGAAAATTTCCGGCATCCAGAGAATTATAAATTTTGTGTTCAAATATTTTAAAAAAGAGCTAAGGAGACTGATGGATCTCTTGTATATATTAATATAATTCCCTCCTGCACCTTTAAATACCAAATCTTGTTTTATTTCTAAATAGAGGACATAGGATAAATATTGTGTCCATTAATTATATTAGCTATTGATATTTATATGAAATTTGTTTTATTTTTGTAGGCTTCTGTGTGCGAGGTAGAATTAGCATCGGCGATAGAACAACGAGATAGAGCAATGCACGACGCCTCGGACACGTCGTTAGCTCAAGACGAAGTAGTGATAAAGGCTCGCGAAGACAGAGACATTGCTGTCCAAAGGAGGATAAAAGTTGAAGTGGAGCTTGCCAAAACTAGAGTAGAACTTATGCAGGCCAACAGCCAATTGCTTGAAACGGTTCAACAAAAGGTCGAACTCAGTCAACAACTCGAGCAGTGGCAGGTAGGTCGTCATTATTAATATTGTAGTATATTTTTATCGATCATTTAGAGATCCAGTTAAAAAAAGTCATTGATAACTGTATCAACACAAATTTCGGATTTTTTTTTAAATGGGCTCATGTTTGGGAGCCAATTGGATATTTTGAGGCTAAAGCTGAACCTTGGGGCACTTTTGATAGAACTTGTTTATGTTTTTTTAATAAAGTTCATAATAATGTTTTGTTTAGATGGATATGCATGAACTCTTAGATGAACAACTCAAAAACAAGCTCTCAAACCAGGAGCATAAAATGAAGATCACCAGTGAACCCGTCGTCCCTCCTAGAAGAAGATATTTACTTAGGTTTTTCAATCGATAGCATTTTGATACGAAAACACTAAAAAATTAATAGGCAATAATAAAGTAATATTTTAGTTGTAATGTGAATATATCTTCTTTTTTTATTAATTATACCAAATTGTTTTAATATATTTTTTCTATTTTGAAGTAATTTTAACATACAAAAAGAGCCAGTAATTGTCAGGAAATATGTGAAGTGAAACAAAATGTGAATAGGTAAAAACAAATATTAAAAAAAAAAAGACATATCGAAAATGGCAGATAATCAAAAATTATAAAATTGTGCCTTAACGTGTGCCTGTAAAATTAAATGTTTTTACATTTTGGAGAAAATATTACAAAAACAACTGACAGCTACTGATTTCTTCCAAAAGTGAAATCTAGAGATTGAAAGATAGTGTTTGGAACGTGGAAAATATAGAAATTTAATAAACATCAAAAATTTAACACTATCTATATGAATCCTTTGATTTCATTTGGGTATTTTCTGCTCACTGACCAAAAGTTTGTAGATATACAGGGTATTCCGGTATTTTTAGAACGTTTTTAATATTAATAATGAATTTGAAATACCAGTGCTGGTTAAAGAATGATTTGTAAAAACTAAATTATGTCATTATGTGATAAAAAAAACGAAAATAACACCATATTTATCTTGAATCAGCCCTGGTATTTTAAATGTTGTTCTTCAAATCTATAATGGAAACTTTAATACCGCCGCCCTTGAATATTTTTCCAGAGCAGCTGTACCTCATAGATTTTTAATTCTGTATTTTTTTTTTGGAAAAGTTAATGAATTTTTATATATTGCATTTATATTACCACGAAACTAAGAATATATAGAAAGATAAAAAACGATTGTCTTTCAAGTCTTGATATATATCTACTATTATTAATCATCTACGTCTGGGATACATTTTTTAACCTACCAAAAATCCTAATTTAGGTTTTAATAATTTTGTAAATACAAAACCTAATCAAAAGGGTAAATTAAAGTGATCTTTATTGCGTTTATATTTTTAATTTAAATTAATTCATTAACTTTATCCGGCTTTTTTTAATTTTAATTAACCTAAAAACTGTGATTTTAATATGAAAGGCTATACACCTGCACTTATTTAATATAAAACTGTACAATATTTTATTGAATAAAAATACATTAATTCTGTTTTAAATTTATTATTTAACTTGTTTTTATTATACAGACAACGAATTTGACTAAATGAATGGGTTATTAGAACCATATCCATAAATGACTTAGAAAAAGAAAAAACGAACACCCTAAGCTACAGCAATGTCCTAAAACAAGATAAATTTAATTCAATTAACAACCCAAAAAAAACTAATATTCCGAAAATAATCATAAAGCCAAAACAACAACAACCACCCATCCAAACCAAAAAAGATATAGATGCTAAGATTAATCCAGCTAAACTTAAGATTGGCATTACCAACATGAAAACAACACAACATGGTACTACAGTAATCAATTGTCAAAATCAAAATGAACTGGACATCCTAAGACAAGCATTAGAGGATAACTTAAATGATGACTATGACATCGAAATAAGCAAATTAAAAAATCCAAAAATAAAAATTGTTAATGTTACCCAAGAATATACAGAAACGGAAATTGAAAACTACTTGAGAGATCAAAACCACATAATTGATGAAATCAAAGTGACATTTATAAAAAGAAATACAAATAACTCCCAAACAGTTTTCTGTGAGTGCTCACCAACAGCATTCCACAAAATAATAAATATGAAGAAAGTATGTCTAGGATGGGAAAGATACATGGTTTATGAAGACATAAATATACCAAAATGTTTCAACTGCCAAGAATACTACCATAAAAAAATTAACTGTCAAAATAAAATAGTGTGTCCCATATGTTCTGATGAACATGAAGAAAATATGTGCAAGAAATTAAAAAAATTTTGTAAAAATTGTGAACAGGCAAATAGAAAATATAATACACAACACGCCACTGACCATGAAAACAACAACCGTGAATGTCCAACTTTCAAGTATCACCAGCAAATTTTAAGAAATAAAATAAATTATTCCGGCTCTCAATGTTAATTGTAAGTGAAAACGATTTATTAGACTCTATAAAAATCGATACTAATAATGAAATTATTGATGCTCCAAATATAACAAGTAAAATTAATTTAAATGAAAAACTCCTTAATGTCATGCATCTCAACATCAGAAGTATTAAAAAGAATTTTGATGAGTTGATCTTATTCCTAGAAAGTTATGATATAAAATTTTGTGACGTAATTATATTATCCGAATGTTTTCAATTAGAATCTACCTCACAGTTTAATCTACAGGGTTACAACATACACTACAACAACAGTAATATTAATAGAAATGATGGTGTCATAGTTTTAGTCAAATCAAAATTAAATGCAGAAATAAACCCAATAAAGCTCGAACTTTCAGGCATTTGTATTACTAAAATAAACATAACAGCAAATCATACAACTATTGGCATTAGTGCTTTATATAGGTCTCCTCAAACTTCGGCAGATACATTTATTCGAGACATAGAAAATTACATCCCCACTCACCTAAACAAAAGTATTGAAATGTTTATAGGAGACATTAATATCGATCTCCTGGACGGAAAAAATCATATCACAAATAACTACGAAGCAACTCTTCACTCAAATGGCTTCTTGTCTTATATAAATACAATTACACGGGCTCAGAGTAAAACCTGTTTGGATCACATATTTTTAAGAAACAATATTAAAACCGAAAAATTAAAATTCAACTCATATGTGATAAACTACGATTTAACCGATCATGATCCGGTTATGATAAATATTTCAAAACCTCTTTCAATAAATAAAACAAAATCTCTAACTACCTATACAACTATAACTAAAATTGATAATGACAAACTAATTTCTAAATTTGAAGCTTTAACATGGGAAAGTGTTCTCAATGAAAATAACCCTGAAATAGCAACTCAAAAGTTCTATGACAAATATCTCAATAGTATTGAATCATGTAAAATTGTAAAAAAAATTAAACAAAAAATTCATAAAAAGATAAAACCTTGGATAACAAATGGCTTAATCAATTCCATCAAAAACAGAGATAAACTAAAAAAGCAATTACAAAAAAAGCACTCCATTAATAAAGAAAATGAATATAAAATTTTTAGAAACAATTTAAATAAATTAATATTGAAAACAAAAAATGATTACTATAAAAATGAAATAAATAAACACAAGAATAACTTAAAAAAAACCTACCAGATAATTTCAGAAGCTACAAATGACAGCTGTAAAAAAAGTCAAAACCACTTGGTAATTGTTGATGATGGGAATAAAGATTTCAATACTGACAAAGAAATGGCGAACTATTGTAATAAATATTTTACCTCCATTGGTACAAAAATGTATGAAACCATTCGTGATTGTAAAATAAATTACCCTGTACAAACGATGATAACTAAGTCAATATTCTTAAAACCTATTTGTGACAATGATACAATTAGATATATAAATAGCCTAAAGAACAACAGTACCCCTGGATTTGATTGTGTATCAGTAAAACACTTAAAACTATTACATCCGTTCATTGTAACTCCCTTAAAACATATAATTAATACAATATTCTGTACTGGGATTGTACCGAAACATTTTAAAAAATCCATTATAACCCCGATCTATAAAACCGGTAACCCAAACTTAATAGGTAATTACAGGCCAATCAGTTTAATTAGTAATATCGCAAAAATATTTGAGAAATGTTTGAAAGAGAGACTCATTGAATACTTAACAATTAACAATCTGCTTCCTCAGCATCAATATGGTTTTACAGAGGGTCTTAATTCGAGTGATGCTATGCATGCACTAATATCTCATGTAGCTGAAGAAATGAACAACAATAAAAAATGTATCGCCACCTTTTTGGATTTAGCAAAGGCTTTTGACACAGTGCCACACCAAAAACTTCTCGATGTACTTGAAAAGAATGGGATAAGAGGCACTGCATGGAAAGTCTTTGAAAGCTATCTGACTCAGAGGGAACAACAAGTTAAAATAAGAGATAGTCTTAGTAATCCTGAATATGTACAAATTGGTATACCTCAAGGTACTGTCTTAGGGCCAATATTATTCAACTTATACATCAAAGGCTTGACTGAGATTGACATTCAAGGTAAAGTAATTTCTTATGCAGACGATACTGTGCTGGTCTTCAGTAGTAAAGATTGGGATTCTACAAAAATGCAAGCCATACAAGGAATTGAACATGTAAAAAACTGGTTAGACGTTTTTAAATTATCCTTAAATATCAAAAAAACGAACTATATAGCTTTCTCTAAAACATTAGCTGATCGCCCTCATTTTAAAGAAATAGTTACCAGTAATTTGGACTCTAAAATACAAGAAACAGAAACTACTAAATACTTGGGTATAATTATAGACCAACATTTAAAATGGGACTCTCATATAGCATATATATCAAAAAAAGCTTAGATTTATAATCTATAAATTTTATCTTTTAAAACAATTTCTTAACCAAAATCTCTTAATAAGCCTATATTTTAGCCTGGTAGAATCTATTCTACGTTATGGTATACTAGTATGGGGAGGCCTATATGAAACAACCCTTAGACCACTAAATGTCATACAAAATAAAATACTGAAAATTATCTTCAACAAACAGCGATTATATCCTACTATTCTACTATATAATGAAACAATATCTAATGTTAGAAGTTTATACATGAACACAATATGCTGTTACATACAAAAACATGAGGTACTAAAAAAACCTCTGGGTCATCAACACAAAACCAGAACTTTTAGTAACTTGAATATTAAAATATCTGTGCCTAATAGTGAATCTTTCAAAAATTGTATAAATTACTTAGGACCAAAGTGTTACAATGCTTTACCTCCTGAGATCAAATTAATTAACAAACAACATTTATTTAAGAAAGCGTGCAAATCCTTCATCTACCAAAACTACTCAAAATTGTATAGATTCTTCTTAGAATAACACATATCTCACTGTAATATGTTGGAACCCTGTAGATTACAAGATTATAACATTATTACATATTATATAATATAACATTGCTGCCTTATTACATTTAACATTTATATAAAAATACATTAACTTTATATTTTAGTTTTTTAATCTTTATGTATTAGTTTTTTAGTCTGTCTAGCACATACAGGTGCCCACACCTAGGTGCTAACTTATTTACCTATGATTAATTTATAATTTGTTTATTGTTGTAATTAATCATGTTATGTAATTAATCCTGTCATAAATAAATTGAAATAAATTGAAATAAATTGAAAAATTGAAAATTGAAAATTGAAATTGAAATATATTCGTTAGAGCCTGGTTAAACAAAGAATCTCCTATAATAAAAAAATATGTTTGTCTAACTTTGGGTATTTGGAAAGTGACATATTTTATTTTACCGATTAAAACGCTGATCTTTAATAGTTCCTCATTTGACTACAAAAGTGGCATGTCATGTTTTTAGCTGTCTATTTGTAGTTGGGCACAGGGGAGGGGGTGACCAACGTAATATGTTCCAGTGTTTTTCAACAAAATTCTTGATATATCTTAAACTCGTTTTATCTGAATCTGAGAAGATATTTCTAGCATTTTTGTGTCTGCTAAAGGTTTGATGGACAAAAAAAATGCAACCTTACGAAAAGTGACCTGTTTTTTTGAAATCGGAACCAAAAATCGAAAAATGGTTTGTTCTCAAAAAATTTTTGTATGACTCTTAAATAAGAATTTATGGCGAATGGGGGTAAAACCACTGAATAAAAAATACTTGCAAGGGCAATACCCTTATTTGAGAGACATATAAATATTTTGAGAGCAATTAAACCATGATTCGATTTTAAATTCCAATTTTACATCTATTTCAAAAACAGGTCACTTTTCGCCAGGTTGCAATTTTATTTTTTTTATTTCAACCCTTTCGTCGACAAAAATATGTTTGCAGTACCGTCTTACATTCAGAAGGTTTAAGCTATATCCCGAATTTCGTTGAAGAACACAAATATTCGGTTACTTGGGCAAAATCCCTAAACCAGAAGTAGCAAAACTGGACGACAGAAAATGCTTGCAAAGGGATTTTTTTATTGTTATAGACGTCTAGAAGCATATTTAATT